TATATGCATTCCTGAAGTATCCATGTTTTCACTATTAACGAGAAAAATGTAAGAAAATGCTTCAAAAAGAATAATTTCATGTATTTTCATTGGATATTTTACAATAATTCATGAAGCTAACAAGGCTATTGATACAAGTCAAGCCAGATTACCTGAGTGAGAACTTGAAGGTGTTTTGAATGGTGTACAGGTAAAATCTCACCTGCTTTGCATGCTTTTTTCTAACTTCAGTCAGCCTTGTTGGCTTTGTGCTTAGTTATGATTTATCCAATGGAAATATATTGCATTATTCTGGAGATTTGACACATTTTCTTACATTGTTCTCGATAAAAGTGAATACACGGGTACTTCAGGAATGCATGTATAGGTATTTTTTTTCATTAATTTCATTATTCATTGAAATGTTTAATGGCGTTGACATAACGTCCCGAAACGAAAGTAAAAACACTGCCCTCTGGTGATGGTAATTTTAAAGTACTTTGTTTGACCAGACTCTTGAATTACAAGTATGTTTCAGTGAGGTAGTACTATAAAGTCGGCATCAGTTCCGCGCTATCACAAGGAGACAAACACGAACATATCGCAGCCTCCCAAAATACACACACATACACTACACGCATGCATCTTGCACACAGGGGGGCCGTCCTTAAATGACCTTAGCTGTTAATAGGATGTTAAACAAAATCAAACAAACAAACAAACAAGTGATCAAGCGTCTGGTTGTTTCGCCGTTGCCGGAACGTGATCCAGAAATATATTTGCAATATGTGAATCAAAAGCTATAGGGTCCCTATAACTATTGTAGCAGTCCCTGCAACCAAAAGAAAAGGGAACGGAGTAAAATCTGGTCTGAACAGCACCGGGAAACGATATATGGCATCGAATTGTGTTTCAACTCCGTTTGATGAGCATTTGCTTGAATCCGATGACTAAGTGCGTCACCCATTTATTGTTTGTGACAACATCAAGAATCGATATTATTTTCAAATTGAGTATTTTAAACTACCGGGAAGTAAATTAGACATAAAAAAGCTCGGGATTTTTTTTTTTACCATTGATATCAGAGACGGATCGAGGGGGTGTTAACCGGTGCACGTGACATTCCCCTGTCCGTGACCAGATTTTATTTTAAGCAGTGAAATATAAGACCTCGTCGATCGCGTGTAAGTCGTGATATTTGGAGATAACTTGATCATATCACGATTTCAAAATCCTGCGTCAGCCCGAGGGTTGACAACGGGGTTTGTCAATTTCAAGAACAAATTATACATGTACAGACATTAAAATGGGCAGTTTCATTGATTACAACTTGGGTAGAAATTGAATAAGTTACATAAATGAAGTTTTCATTTCCGTTTAAAGCCGTAAGTGCAACGGAAATGTAAATAAACAGGGAATAGCCTGGTCTGGTACGTCAGTGAAAACTAACAATCACGCTCTGAAACATCATATGCATACATCTATTAACTAATCTAATTTCGTATCGTAACGATGTAGAACCTAGTCTAATTCTTCGCAAATTTCGTACAAATTGAACAAATTATTGCATTAATTGGTGTTTTTGTAATATGGTTTATTACTTAATGATCTTAATAACAATGCTTATAAGAATAAATACAGTTTCCCATATATATATATATATATATAACAATCGGCGCCCGTCAATAATCAGTATCAACTGTTTCGCGTGTGGCTCTTGGTGGCGTGGTACAGTACAAGTTATCTTCGCTGAACGTCGCGGACACGTCAAACTGACTAATATTTGTGGTGGGTCTGGGAAACATTGACGGAGTAGCAGACATTACACTAAACACAATCATTAGTGTGACTAACGAATGTGTTGAGCGATATTGGTGTTAGCCAGTCATCTTCGACAATATGAAAACCGGTTAAATTCAATGGTTAGTCCCGCGTTTCATTAATTATCACTCAAAGCACAACAGATGTGGTTGTATTGATTCAGAGACAGAACTTACCTTAAAGCAGGTCTAACGTTCGTTTTGACCACCATTTGAATATTGTGTCGAAACCGATATTGACCTCATCGAAAACCTGCTACTTTAGCTTCTTCTTTTTTATATACCAAATTCGTTTTTAACCAAAACGTTTTTGTTTTACTTTCTTTGGAGAAAGTTTCCTAATTACATTATTATTGGTGGTTTCGTGTTAATATGTTCGTCGGCAGTACATTTATCTAGGGTACGATCTAGTGACGACTGATAAGAATTTCAATTTCCTTTTTATGTGACGGTTTATTGGAGCTTTAGCGAGTAGCTATATTCGAGAATCAATAGATTCCATAGACTGAATATGTATAGTAAGGCAATACGGCTACAGTATGACCAATTCGGGACTACGCTTCACTAATT